ACCAGGTGTCACAAACCATTTTTATATGTTGCAAATATGGTTGCAACCATCACCAAGAATTGCGACCAGCATCTATATTCTTCACCCATAAAGTCCACATTCTCCATTAATCATAAATTAAAAATAAAGAATTCATAGAATACATCAATTTGTTACCTGAAACTTGGATAAAAGTTTCATCAGAAAACAGGCTCTGTGTGTATTCATTTTCTTTCCTTTTTTTTTTTTGGCATTTATGTAATCATTAATTTCACACATAATGATGAATAATATTACATTCTTTCATTAGTTCATGCCTCTTAATTAATATTGTGTAACTTTATGAAGAAGCTGAAGATAATGCTTTTGATACCAGTAATACATTTAATGATACAAGGGAAAACTTTGAAAATAATAGAAATATTACCAAGAGATATGTAATAATAATAAAAAATCCAAAACTTGAATTATTTTAATGATGGAAATTATAGATGCTACCCACCACCCAAGTTAGCCCAAATCCCAAACTACTTTGGACATACTTTAAAATAAAAAATTTTTTAATAACATCCAAAATTTTTAATAAAAAAAAAAGATTACTCATTATCACCATTAACATCCCTCTTGATTGTACATTGTTTACAATTGATTATATATCAAATTCTGGATTTCCATCTTCAAAGAAAATGTCAATTCATTTGATAAATGTTGGAATGAGTTTGATAGTATAATATTATAATATTATATAATGTAAATTAAAAAAAAATTACAATTAAATCTAATTGAACAATATCCAATTTAGACAAAGGATCACTAATACTTTTTGAATAATATATAAAACACCTTGGATTTGGAAGGCTCTTGATGGTGGTGATACTTCTGCTAATGAATAGTTGCACAATTGTCAAATTATTCATTAAAAGTTCAATCATATGATTTTGAATTGTTCTTGAATTACATTCTGTAAAAATCTGGTGGATTATGTGCAAACAACAAAACAATCACATTTAAAAATTTAACAATATCTCCTCACAACACTAGTTGTGAAAGGATATTTTTGGTTTTAGGATGATACATGAATAAGAGATGTACTAGATAATTATTTTGAATATCATATTTATATAAATAAAGTTA